TTGATCAGGTTATCAGCTCCTCCAGCAGGAGCCAGCCCTATGAGTTCCCAGAAGTCACAGTTCAGCTCGTGGCCTCCTGGAGCTTGTTTGCCTTTTGGGGTAAGAGCTAGTGTTCCATATACTGCAACACTACTCTCAGTAGATAAGACTACTCCATTGTAACACTGGCACAAAGCATCTGACAAGACACACTGAAGGAAACCTGTACCATCCCACAACACCAGGAACATTAAATTCTTTCCTTGTCTACGCAGCCTGTGGACCCAGCCAAATAACTTTACTCTTTGGCCTCTATATCCTTCTAATGCACAAATCTTCACACACTTGTGTTCTGGCAGACTCGGATCCTGTTTAATGGATATCTTCTTGGCTTCTTCCAGGTTCTTTTCTCTTCGCAAACTATCTTCTGCCTCTTTCTTCTCCTGGGATTCATTCTTCATTTGTTCCCTGTGCCACATTTTTTTGATGTTCTTCATCTGTGATTTAGAAATAGCATCCCACCTCTCATTTTCTTTTTGTGAATCTATGTAAATGGTAGGGAATGGTTCTTTTCCTACTGTCATCAAAGCCTTTAGACCTGTTTTAAATGGTTTCTCCTTGGTTCTATCTCCTGTAGCATCATTTCCCTCTCAATCCGACACATACAGCTCTGCCAGCACCATTCCTGCAGTCACACTGGTCACCTCCAAGGACATAGTCTGCAACACCACCACGCTGCCCCGTCACCCCAACGTGCACTGGCCAGTAGTGCTATACTTTGGATCTAGGTCATCCTTTTCTCTCCAAACCTGTGAGTTAACCACTTAGCAGTTTACCCCAAACATGACTTGGGCAACATGTTTGTTTCCATACCAACTATCATGAACATTGCTCTGGCAGGTGTCATTTCATCTAGTCGATTCTTGTTTGCACAAGATACACACGTATATGTTTATTTTATTATGACTATTTTTTGCGTACCTTTAAATTTAGAAATTGCATTCACCTTTGATATTTGTTTTTAGTGAAATCTAACAATAAGTACTAGTTATTTTCTTTTACTAACTTATGCTTATTCTATTTGTGAAAAATAACTTATAATTTTGTTCTACAATCTATAAAAACTCTTAGCATAAGTACTAAATATTATTTTTATATTTTTCTAGAAGTCTGTTTTTTTAAAAATACAAAGTAGGCACAGTTTGGATCCTGAGTCCAAATAGGAAGAAAGTGCCAAAAGATCTGCAGAAAGAAAAATTCGAAAAGGGAGAAATGTTAGCATAGCAGAGAGGGAAAGTCTGTTATAAGATGAAAGGACAAAAAAAAAGACTTCTCCTTATTGTTAACTATTTATAATACAGAAATGATAGGACTTGGAAGAAGAAATGAAACTAAAAATATACTAATAGCAGTCAATTAATATAATAATTCTGTGGGTGGTGTTGACAGACTTGATCAACATCTAACAAGCTATCCTATAATCAAAAAGCAAGGAAAAATATTACCATAAAATATTCATGCACCTCTTGGACCAAACAATATGAATCTTATTTGTTACTTATTCAAAGCAGGAGGATTCAAAAATTAATTTACAAGGGCTGGGCACAGTGGCACATCTCTGTAATCCCGGCACTTGGGAGGCTGAAGCAAGAGGATCACCATCAGTTCAAGGTCAGCCTGGACTACATAACAAATTCAAGGCTAGCCTGTAATACATAGCAAGAACCTGTCTCAAAAGAAAAGTCATTTATAATTTAGATTAGGTCTAACAGACCAAATAATTGAAAAATACAGGATAGTGAAACACCAATCAGGACATCCATCATCAACATCTTCACCATTGTGTTTAGTGAGCAGGCATTTTATTGAAATTATGCCACCCACCCAGGGAATAAAAGGAAGGCCAACATGACAGTCTAAAATATGCTGTTTAAAGTGATTCAATAATGCAAAAAGAAATCAGGAAGAGACTAGACACTATTGTCCACATTGTAACGTTGCATTGTGTATTAGATTTTTTATATAATTTTATTGAGAAACAAATAGCAATGAGAGTTTCAAATCAAATTGGTAG